TTTGTCAACTTGACACAGATATCCTAGACATACCTGGGAAGAGAGATTCTTAATTGAGAAAATGCCTCCAGCAGAGGCATATCTGTGGAGCATTTTCTTGATAAATATGGGAGGGCCTAGTGCATTGTGGGTGGTGCCATCCCTGGGAAAATGGTCCTGGGTCTGTAAGAAAACAGGCTGAGCAAGCCACAGGGAGCAAGCCAGTAAGCAGCATTCTCTGAGGCCTCTGTTTCAGTTCCTGCTTCTAGGTTGCTGCACTGACTTCCCTTCAGTGAACTGTGAGCTGTAAGGTAATTCTTCTTCATCAGTCCTAATGACCTCATCACATCTCAAAGGTCCTACCACCTTTCTTCCCCACGTTGCTTATGGTCGTGGTGTTTATCGCAGCTATCAAGTTCAGAAAGAGTTTTGGAAGGGACAAGCTATATTCAAACTCTACCAGCGTCTTTGTATGGGATATATAGTCGTAAGCAGCAACTGATATCAGTTTTGAATAAATAAATAAATAAATAAATAAATAAATAAATAGGATTTGTCACAAAGATGCAGAGGTTTCCCATTTATTCCAGAGGAAGACATGATTTGGAACTGGAAATAGGTGACAGAAAGTAGTGGGGTTCAGAGAACCTTTCTGTCTATTGTTTGCTTTGTGGGGGGCCTTGGTTAGCTTTTGCTCGGAGAACTCCTATATTCCTACTACACTGCAGGCAGAGGAAGAACTGGGTGCCTCTACTCTAACATAAGCTTTTGGAGGAAATGATACAATTGACTTAATTTAAGACAGTTTTACCCTTTGATTGAATCAGCCATTGCTCTGCTGTTACACCAAAGGCATCTGTTTAAAATTTCACCAGCACTTTGGGTTTAGGGTAGTGCAAAAAGAAAAAAAAAAAAAGATATAAGCAGGCGCGCGCGCACACACACACACACACACACACAAACGCATGTATAAGCATACATTCATATGCATGAACATAGACACATTAAATAGAGGAGGGGAAAGGGGGGATCGGCTTTATAACAGCTTGCTTTTGTGGTAACTTCCACAAGGCATATCGTATATACTATGCAGTATGTACATAAGGTGTGCTTCTTAGACAGTGATGAGGACAGGAAAGGTCATTTATTTATCCACACTGTCAACAGATTAGAAAAGGATTTGGTGCCTGGGAAGTATCTCCGCAGGAAGCCCTGGGCTCCATTCCTAACACCTAATAAACTGGGCATGGTGGTACACTCAGAAAGTAGATGCGGAGCATCAGAGGTCCAAACTCATTGGCTACTTATTGAGTATGAGTTTAGCCTAGGATAAAAGAGACGCCATTTCAAAAAACGAAAGGAGCCGGGGCGCGGGGTGCTCTCTGCTCCCTGCTTTTCTCTGTGGTTTCTGATCCCTCCCTAGCGCCTGCCCGCACCCACCGCTGGTCATGGGCCTCTCTGGGGTCTGCGTGCTTGGTCTCTTCTCTGAAACTATGAGCTGAATAAACATTTCTGAGAGAGAAGGTGCCCAGAGAGAGGAGGACGGGAGTGGTTTTTTAACTGGTGTGGATTTGATGCAATGATGGAAGAATTCTGAAACTGGCTGGAGCTAGTGGGGGCACAGGGACAGTACTCCTTAAGATAGATGATTGTACATTATGCGACTGTCACGTCGGTCGTCACAGTTGAAAGAGCACGTAGCGCAGTCCACGATTGCATTGGAATTCAAGTACACAGATAAGGTGAATACTACAGGAAATCTGAGGTTCTGTAAACTCAGGTAACTGTCCTTTAAGAACCCATAAAGAGAGCCAAGCTGGCATACTTCTGCAGAGTACAGAGGCTGTGCGGAGCTCTTCTTCCTTGTGATGTAACTCGGGTCTCCGTGATCCCCTCAGTACTTGGTAGAGCACAATAAACTGGTCTATTGGACTGAAACGCCAGACCTAGACTCTGGGATGGAAAAGGACAACATACTACATTTGTTCTGGTGTTGCTCACTTACGATGCCCTCCTTCTTTAAGCCTGATGGTTTCCTTTCTCAGACACTCTACACAAGCTGAGCATGCATGCATTTATTCAAGCCATAGAGACCAGCGCCTGCAAGAACAGAATTCTCTGAGAACAGATGCTCAACTATTTACATTGGTACAGAATGGGCCAGTTGATAAGCAGCTCTGCACAGTTGCAACATGTGGCTCACTACTTTGTTCAACTGTTCTCTTAATGTTTCGCTTAAATTTTTTACAAACAGGGTCTTTTAAAGTCCCCCTTTTAATTTTTAAAATTATATTGATTTTGTGTGTTGTGAAGAGAGTTTATGTGTGGGGTCAGTTCTCTCCTATTACACTTGCGTGTCTTCCTTGAATAAAGTTTATAATTAAAAAATAAAAATATAAAGTATATTGTATATAAAATATATTTTATTAAAAACACATACATGCATATATACATACATTCAATCTCAGTGGCTACGGGGTAAGGCAGGATGGTCTTTACTCCAAACTGTCGCAATGGATCATTTGAGAAAGTAGGGACCAAACAAATTTGGGACGCACAGAGTTAAAGGAAGTTAGAGAAGCTTCTATACAGTGGTGTTTCTCTGAGTGCTCAGTAGAGATTTTGAGTTTTCACAAAATGCATTTGAAGCATACCCCAAATTTATCTGCTCAAGATAGGATACCCCTTTTGTGAGACACTTGGGACAGGATTAGGAATGATGAACAGTAGTTTAGAAATATTTTTGACACATTCCTGAGTTTTGAAACTGTTCTTTCTGTTTAAGTAGACATTTCAATTTTTTTATAGGTTAGATAGCTTTAATTATTGAACGTAAAAGTTAAGCCATTATATAATTCATTAAAAGTTTTCAGTGGAAGGGGATGGCTCAGTCAGTAAAGTGTGTGCCTTGCAAGCATGACAACATGAGTTCAGGTTCCTAGAAGAGACATAAGAAGCCAAGCACAATGGTACAGGTCCACAGCAGACAGATGGCCCTTGGAGCTAATGGGCCAACCAGCCAAGCTGGTTGGTAATCTCGGGGTCAGTGAGGGAAACCTCCTGGGAAAAGGAGGAGGACAGAGAATGAGGAAGAACCCTGATGTAGACCTCTGGCTTCCATGTTCACCTGTGTGCATATGTAAACACACACACACACACACACACACACAATTTCCAATGGAATTTCAGAAGGATAACAATTTGATATTCAATAATACCCATTTTGAAAATGAACTAAGTTTTTTTTTCATGAACCTGTTTCCATTTTACCCTCTCCACAGCGTTTGTCTTCATAATATATGTCAAAGTATCTTACCGTCTATCCCATAGTACAAAATAAATGTGAGAAAATTCTAATTACACCAATTGCAACCACAATATTATAAAACTTTTCTTACACATTGAATTTTAATTACAATTAAAATTATTGAGGATATTTATTATAACAATCATATAATTTTCATAATTAATGTGATTTGTTACATGTTAGTATGGTTTATTACTATGATTATTTTTTAAGCATGATTGATTACGACCTAAATGTAAGACCCCGCTCCCACATATCCACATAATTAAAAGGAAGAAATAATAAAATCTAAAAAGTGTTGTGTAAGGTATAATTCTCAAAGCATGGAGAGGAAACTGAAAAACTAGTTTATAGCTATTATATACAGTGACACATTTGTTACCTTTATGGGTACTCCAGATGCCCATACATTTTTATAATGCCATTTCTAAACTGCTGTTATGCATTGATCGGTTGTATTTGCTCATGTGTCAACTGCCTGCCTGCTTTGATCCCATATTAGACAGGGTGCAGGTATTGATCTTTCTTATTTGCGTTTCTCAGACTGTCTTTCTCGGGGACGCTGTCCCTTGGCTCTGCACACAGGTTGCTGGCTTGTCCTCAGTGCACTTGGGTGAGAGGTCTCCTTATCAAAGCAAAAGCTGCCAGGGGGCAGCTGTGCTGTCCTTGAGCCTCTTTGAAGTCTAAACAGAGCTTTGGTGCCTACTTGGCTAGTGTGCTCTCCATGCTATCTGCTCTTTACATTTTATCAGCTCCTTCCCAGGACCTCCTTACGCAGTACGCTGCTGAGTCTGAGAACATTTTTAATGAGAGAAAAGGAATTTTTTGGACAAATTCTCAGCGTGCATGAATTCTATAGCACCCGCTCACTCTAACTTTGTTTTTTTTAATGATATTTCTATTTATCCAATCCAACTTTGCTTGCACAGCCCAGTAGTGATAAAATTATGGTGTGGTTGTACAAACCACTTCTGGGGATGCTGAGACAGGAGGATTGCTAGAATGAAGGAGAGTATTAGGGCAAAACCCTGCTTTTAAACCAACAATGAACAGAGAATGCAAATGTGCTTGCTGGTTGGTGCCTCCAGGTATCTGGCAGGTTTGTGCCATATCCTCGAGCTGTCCACCCCTGGTGACAGGCTGGGGAAGAAGGGAGAGAAACTATTTTCTGTTCCTGAAAGTGGATTTACTACTCCTCTGTGATCAACAGGGGAGACAAAGCAGAGGTTCTCCTCAGGGCCAAAGCCTTGTCAGAGCAAGTCAGCCTTATGACCAGGGCATGTGCCCACACAGTGTTGGATTCGGACTGCGTGAGCCTGCCTGGGAAACCTTTTGAGTAGCTGCTAAAGTTGGCAAAGGGAGATTTTCTAGTTGCTAGAAGTAGTGATCACTTATCCACCTTCTCCAGGACAGGTTTCTGAGTCCAGGTTGTTAGCTCAGGAGTGGTTCAAAGGCCGAGGGCTCATGATTGCTCAAAACTCAGAGAAATGTAAAGTTGAGGCACAGGTAATATGTACATGTCTCAAATTAGAAGTATTAAAAGGGGAAAAATGAAATTGATGAAAAGTTATCTAAATCCGTCCAAATCAAGACACTGTAATATGTGGGTTTGACACACAGACATTTTAGGCTGGGCTCTGATGGCTGTGTTTACACTCATAGAATTCTTAGTTTAGGGACCAGGGGCTCACTCCTCTCCTTTTTTCCTTTACAGGTACTTGGTTGAATGTGGAAAATGGAAAGAAACTAAATCATCCCGTGAAGCGGTCATATGTTGTATAATGGCATTTTGGTTTAAAATGGGGCCACAAGTATCATGGTGGCCCCGTGGACTATATCACAGAAGAGAATCATTGAGGATGAAATGCTTAATGTGGAGCCTGAAACTTGGGGCTCACCAGAGAGAAATGTGGGGAAGCACTCCAAGCTCTGGGAAGATTTTCTGAACAGGAACCCCAAAGCCCAAAAAGGAAAAGGGAGGCGCTGACAAACAGGATTGCATCAAATTCAAAGGGGTCTGTACAGCAAAGGCCACGATGACAGAGGGAAAGAGACAGACTATGGGACCACAGAAAAGCCGTTGCCAGCTATTCATCTGACCAGGGATAGGTATCCCGAAGAACTAAAAAACTTAAAACACAACAATAGATGTTCATCTAATCAATAGATGAACAAATGAATTAAAAAGATACTTTCAAAAGAAATACAAATGCCTAAAAACACATGAACAATAAATACTCAGCCTTCCCAATCTGGAAAATTCAAATCAAAATTACACTGAGAGGGTGAGGATGTAGCTCTTTTGGCAGAGTGCTTCCCCAGGGTGCCAAAGTCTTGGGTTTGATCCTAGCACCCCACAAGCTAGGTGTGGTATTGCATGCCTGAAACCCCCACATTTAGCATGCGGATGTAGAGTGATTAGAAATTCAAGGTCATCCTTGACTACACAGCAAATTAAAGGCCAGCCTGGAATTCATGAGATCCTGGTTCAAAAACTCAACAAAAACACTGGTACTCTTCCAATCTCATACTTGGGAGGCTAAGCAGAATGACTGCCATGAGTTCAAGGCCAGCCTGGATTTCATAATGCAGTCCAGTACAGGTCATCCTGGGCTAAGGGTGAGACTGTCTCAAAAACAACAACAACAAAAAAATATCAAAACAGTGAGATTCCATCTTGTCAGTAGAAATGTGTATCATCACAATCACCACAAAAACAAGTAATGGCAATGATATAGGAGTGAAAAAAAAAAAGCAATCCTTACACAGTTGGTGGGAATGTAAATTAGTCCAGCCACTATGGAAATCAGTATGGATGTTCCTCAAAAAACTGAAAATAGAAACACTGTAGAATCCTGCTACCCACTTTTAGATATATTCCTGAAGGAATCTAAGCCAACATACCCAAATGTACCTGCACAACATGGCTATTATGTCAGTCAAGGTACTGGGGACTGACCCCAAGTCAAGTGCCCTACCAACTGAGCCACACCTCCATCCCCTGACCTCACTTCTTACAGTTTCCCACCTGAGGCTGTACCCTGAGCTCCACATGCATGCCATGATATATGTGTGTACATACACAGATTTTTAAAACAAATTCCAGAAATGAAAATTTCACAAATTTTAAATAACTCTTATCATAGTATGTGGTAGTTTTAATATAATTGGCTCCCATAAGCTCAAGGAGAGAGACACTATTAGGAGGTATAGCCTTGTTGAAGTAGGTGTGGCCTTGTTGGAGGAAGCGTGTCACTGTGGGGGCAGGCTTTGAGGTCTCCTATGCTCAAGCAAGGCCTAGTTCAGACCACTTCCTGTTGCCTGAAGGTCAATATCTAAGGACTCTGAGCTCCACTTGTACCACGTCTGCCTGCATGCTGCCTTGCTTCCTGCCATGATGATAATGGACTAAACCTCTAAACTATAAGTGAGCTACCCCAATTAAGTGTTTTCCTTTATAAGAGTTGCTGTGGTCATGCTACACAGTATATTGTTACTATTAATTATTGTCAATGTGGATTAATTTATAAATTAACCTTTATTGTAGAATAGTAGGTTCACATATATATGGCATCCAGTAGAGGTCTTAGAACATATACCCGGCCCCCCATTGCCCCTTGGAATACACAGGGTTTCTACATGATTACTATATAGAGAGATCTAAGTAGGTAGGACGATCTAGACCTAGTGAGGCAATTCCAATTCTTATTAAGTAAGTCAGCTTGTTAAGGCACTTTCTGTTTAGAATGCCACCATGTTTAAAACTTCCTAAATGAATAATGGTTCTTACAGAACTCATGCACTGCCATTTGGTCCCCAGCATCGTCCATCTTTCCCACCCACCTGGAGCCTCACAGAAGATGGATCCAACATGAGAGGGACAGGTCACTTTCAGCCAAGGAGTGCTCACAGTCCCCAGCAACACGAGAGATTCCAACCCATAAACATTACAAAGTCCCCTTCCCTGAAGCTAGTACACAAGTGGCTTTCATGTCTGGGGACATAGGGAGTGGCTGCAGCCAGTGTTCCCTGACAAGTCTAGACATGAGCCTAGACTCTTCTCTCTCAGGGAAACTATAATCCCTAAGTCACCACCAGTCACAAGGGCAACATTCAAATGGGATTTTTAAAAAAACCAACCCCAAGATAAAAGGTCATTACTTTGGACACAGAAATTTCTTTAGATCCTTCTTTAATAATAGTAAAGGGCCTTTGGAAAACAAAGCAAAACATCTCTGCTGGAAACACAGCTTGTCGAGATGGGAAGGGTCTCCTTTAAGAAGAAGCAAGCACAGGCCTGGGGGTGGGGGCAGGGCCGGGGATAAAGCTGGGAACAGTCTGGGAAGAGAGATGGAAGTTTTGTGGGTGTTTGAGAATGACCGTGAGACTGGGGAAAGGAGAGAAGGGGCAAAGTGGAGAAAATCCCAAGAACTCAGGGGGGAGTTAAGGTCCCAGGAATCATAATCAGCAAGTCTAACTGCAAAAAAAACCAGCAGGGAGTGGGAAATCTGCCCAAGAAATCCACACGGACGGGCTGTAGGCCCATCAGAATGGAGCAGATGTGCCGGCAGTCCAAGTGTGCCGGAACATGGAATGCTAAGCAAGATTAACTTATTTTAGGCATATCAAAGTGAAGCTGGCTGTAAGCAAAGAGGAATTTTCTACTGTTGCTTTAATGCTTCTGGCTGGAATGGCAGCCCCAGGCGGTGGGGGTGGGGGGAATGCTGGGATAGCAGAGACCCAGTTCTTAAGCTCACAGAACAAATATGTGCATGGGTGAGCAGAGTGTGAACAGGTGGTGGGGTTATCCGGCAGTGAGTCAGGCTGGGCAAATGGTTGTGTAAAGAAAATGCAGGAAAGAGGGGAGAGCGGGAAACACTTTTGTCAAAGGCCTAAAAAGTTAAGCTAGAAGCCGGGCGTTGGTGGAGCACGCCTTTAATCCCAGCACTTGGGAGGCAGAGGCAGGCGGATCTCTGTGAGTTCCAGGCCAGCCTGGTCTACAGAGCAAGTTCTAGGACAACCTCCAAAGCAATACAGAGAAACCCTGTCTCGAGAAACAAAAACAAAAATAAAAAAAAAAAATGTTAAGCTAGAAGGCTATGTCTAGGCTGAGGGTAGAGCTCAATGGTAGATCCCATGTCTGGCATGCAAACATGCTTGTGAAGCACACACACAAATTATCCTTATGTATTAAAGTATAGTCACATACCACCATAATATCCTGCTCAACCACTACCCCTATAGACAATGGTGGTGCCCTAAGACAAGGTGGTATTGTAGCCACCATAGTATATGCAAATGTATGGCATGATAGTCACACACAAGAAAAATGACTAATGGAGCTGGGCGTTGGTGGTGCACACCTTTAATCCCAGCACTCAGGAGGCAGAGGCAGGAGGATCTCTGTGAGTTCAAGGCCAGCCTGGTCTCCAGAGCGAGTGCCAGGATAGGCTCCAAAGCTACACAGAGAAACTCTGTCTCGAAAAACAAAAAAAGAAAGAAAGAAAGAAAGAAAGAAAGAAAGAAAGAAAGAAAAGAAAAGTGACTAATGACAGGGGTGCTGACGCAATCCTATTTTCACAAAGTGCCAGGGGGCAAATCTGATAAGTCCATGGAGCCAAAGTATATTCACCCATCACCTCATTTACCCCTTTGCTCATCATCAATTTATTTATTTTCCACAGATATTTATATAAGTTAGACCTCACCCATTAGCTGGCTAATAACCACAATCATCATTTTCAGTGAGGGCGCAGTGAAACACTGAACTGGACCACTCCATAGGTAGAGAGGAAGGTCTATTGGGGATCAAACTGCCAAGGCCATGGGGCAGAAAGAAGCAAAATGGTGGAAAAGCAAGAAGATTTTATATGATAGTCAGCAGGGTTGGCAGGGTGGGGTGGGGTGGGAGTGGGGGGTCTTTGAGATACCAAACTGTTCAGATTGATCTGGGACTAGACGTCCTTCCCTGAGATAGTTGACCTTTGGGGCAGATGAGGGAGATAATGGTTTTCCTGGTAAGCAGAAACCTTGCTGGATTTAGGCTCTACTCGGTAACAATCCTTCTGTTTACCTAGTCAGAGTCCTTCTGTTTAGGACATTGTCACCGGCACTGGCATTTTGGGGGCCATTTTGGACTTGAAGTCATGAACTACTACAGCCAGTAGGGGAGAGGATGAGGGTAGAGCGAAGGCAGACAAAGGAGTGAATGATTGAAGCAAAACTGAAGAGATGTGGCATGGTGACTGAAAGGTTCAGGCATTATGCTGGCCTGCCCCTGTTACCTGGTGGAATCCACTCAGGCAATACCCTGGTCAGCCCAAGGTTCCATGGGAAAGAAGTCTGCACGCCGGTGCAGAGGACCCCTTTAAAAGATAGGCCCCTGCCCCTTTACGCTCTCTCTCTCTCCCCCTGTCTCTCTCTCTCTCTCTCCTGTCTCCTGTCTCTCTGTTTCCTGCTCTGTCTCTCTATGGCGACCGGCCATGGCGGTCAGCCATTACCCTGTACCTCTTCTTAGTCTCCCCATTCTGTCGGGCCTTATAATAAACTTATAGTCAATATGTCTGGCTCAGCAATTTCTCTTTTCTTCTTTTTAAACAAAACAATAACAGTGACATCCCTTAATTTTGTCATCTGGCTTCACATACTTTTCATTCTCTGACACCTTCTTCATCCCTGGTGCTCCGGTGGCCAGCTTCGACCACTGACTGACAGCTACCTTGTGAGCTAGGACTAGCATAGCCTCTACTGTTTGTTGAGAACCCCCCACTTGCAGGGCCAGGAGGTTTTATCCTCACCATCCCCCTCATACCCAAAAGGAGTTCTCAATACCTCTTTTATATAAATGGAAAATTGTGGCTTTGAAAGGTAAAGCAACGGGTTTAAATGTAGTCTGTGGTGAGAGCTGGCTCAGTGGTTAAAATGTTTGTCATGCAAATGTAATGACAGGAGTTCGAATCCCCACAAAAGTGCCCTGTGAGTGTTGGTATTCTATCCTTAAGTCTAGCTTTGGAATAAGGGAAACAGGTAATGATCCCCCAGAGCAAACTAGTGAGACTAGCTAAATCCCCAAGCTAGATCTAGGCTTGATTCAGATTCCCTACCTCAATGAATAAGGTAGAAAGAAGAGTAATGGAGGGTGACCTTCAGCATCAGCCCTGGGCCTCCAAATGTATGTGCACTACACACACACACACACACACACACACACACACACCACATACACACTACATACCACACACATAAATGAAAATGGAAAAGAATAGAAGTTAATCAATGGTAGTGTTTGTTATGGAATATGACATTTCTTCTGTTTGCAGAACAAAGCACCACTACCCCGGTATTTTGGAACAGTTCTCCAACTAGAAGCCAAAAGGTCAAGACCAAAGCATTAGCTGAACAGGGCTCCCTCTACAGGCATCAGAGGAGGCACTGTCCCAGGATACTGCCCTAGCTCCTGATACTCCTGGGTTTGGAGGGCAGAAGTTCAGCCTTTGCATAGTATTTTCCAGGTTTGTATATATAGATTTCTCATTCCAAAAGGATACCAGTCATATTGGTCCAGGGTCCCACTCTACTCCAGAGTGGCCTAGAATTAGCTGCTTCCATCAATAATGTCCCTATTTCCAAATGAAGCCAATTTTAAAGTACCGAGGGTAAGCATTTTAACATGTTAACTCAGGGTGAGAGGACATGATTCAGCTCGGCATTGTAGGGTTGGAAGACTCAATGTGTTTTGAGAAATTGGTTCTCTACTGTTCCCATGGAGCTCAAACACCTTCCTGCTATGTGTGTGTTCTCTGCAGGATGGGGGAGGAAAGGGAGGCTGTGACAGCTCCTCCCCTCAACTGCTGGACCTCCTGTCCTAACCAGGCTGCCTCTGTTTCTGTTAGAGGGCATATGGAATGTTCTCCTAGTTTGGACTTCCAGTTCCTCTGTGTAAAAGTGTGAGTGCAGACACTTGCTGAGGAGCTTCACACACAACTGAATGACTTAATGGTGCAGAATGTCATCTGTGTGATGGATGTTCCCACCGCGATGGCCTTTTTACTCTCTTGGGGCTCATATCAGGCCACCATTACTTAAGGCAAAAGGAAGCAGTTTCTGTTCTCTGTATGAGAACCTTGGGGTTAGTTTGCATGAGACATGCAATACCTGAGTCTGAACCCTATGGAGAAAAGGGTTTTTGTTAAACTCACGGTTGTAGAGGCTGAACGCCAAGTCACTTGTGACTGTCATCTCGACTGTGGTGAGGGTTTTCTGCCTACATCATAACATGGCAGAGAAAGGGGAAGGGAAATGGCTGTTTGCAGAAGAAGTCAGACACATTGGATAGAATCACTTTATGACAACCCACTGTCTTGCAAAATAACTGGAATAACCTTGGGGTCAGTTCCCATGCATCAGCAACTGGGAATTTTCAGTCTCGTGGATTGTTACCCAGGGGTGGTCAGAAGAGGCAGGTTTGTTGACACAAAATGTCAGAATGTGGATGCTTTGATTT